AAGTGCGCCTCTAAAGCGCCCAATGCGTACTTTGCGACGTGCGCGTGCCGGGACCGGGACCGGGTTCGGGGAATGGTGCTAGTGGTGCGAAGCACCACTCTAGTGGTGACTAGCCTTTGGCTAGTTTGCTAGCCTTTGGCTAGCTAAAGTTAGCCAAGTGGTAGGTAACATATTAAATTATATATTATTTACACAACCCACTATATAAACAAGACTATTTTCTTGTAAACTTTCGATGTGGGACTCCTTTCCATATAAAAACCACTTAAAATGGGCTTATCAACATATGGGCCTATATTGGAGACTTTTCCAATTCACTCAAATTAATTGCAATGACCCATATCATTAAATATTACATTTAATATTTTAAACCCAAATCAAACCCAAATCAAATTCAATTAATTCCAACAATCCCCCACATGAATGGAAGAAGTCGACTCAAATCAAGGAAGAAGAAAGAAGAGTACTATCTGAAAGATAACGCATCAAGATAGGTAGCTTTCGCTTTGAACCTTCTTTAGTAAGAATCTATCGAAGATAGGATGAAGCGATATGAAGAAGGAGCCGTTGAGAATGTATTTCATACAAAATTATAGCAATCAAATCACCTAACCAAGGGCGACAATTCCAGCTACAAGCGAGGGCATGGAAGCAATGTGTTACATGGTAGTGGATGCTTTAGAGACAGCTTCGGTGGACATCATTAAACTCATAAGGAAGGTGAACACAGAGAAAGGCCTGACTATGGTGGTACTCACACTCGTAAGCCTCAATGTTATTATTGTAAAACATTTGCCCATATTGAGAAGTTTTGTAGGTTGAAGGAACGTGCTAAAATTGCTGCAGAACAAAAAGAAAGTGAAATAGAAAGTTCATTTTTTGCCTATTATGCTAATGTGTGTGTTGCAGATGTTTGGCATATTGACATGGCTGCAGTAGTCATATGACGGCAAGCTTGGAGGTTTTTTCCACATTGGATAAGTCTGTTACAACCAAGGTGAAGATGGGTGATGGAGCAATTTGTGAAGCACTTGGTCGAGGAGATGTGGTGATAAACTTTGGGAAACCGATGTGCATTAAAGGTGTATTGTATGTTCCTGACTTGGATTCTAATTTATTGAGTGTGGGTCAATTTCTTGGAGAGCGGCATTCCCTTGTGTTTTTTTAAGCAACACTAAGAAGCAGCTTTTACTTAAAGTTCCCATGGCTAAGAATAATTTGTTTTCTGTCACTTTAAATGGTGACAACCATGCACTGAAAGTCTCTTTTGATGATGATACTTGGTTGTGGCATTATAGATACGGACACTTGAATTTTCGAAGTTAGAACATGTTAGCTAACTCTAGTTTGGTGCAAGGTCCGCCTCCTTTACATGCTAAAAACCCCATATGTGAAAGTTATGTTATTGGAAAGCACCGTTGAGATGCTTTTTTCGAAAGGTCAGGTATGGGTAGCCTTAAAACCTATAGATTTGGTGCATGTGGATGTTTGTGGGCCTGTGCGCACACTGTCCTTGAATAACAACAAATATTTTATCGTCTTTGTTGATGATTTTAGCAGGATGACATGGGTTTATTTTGCCAAACACAAGTCTAATGCATATTAGATTTTCAAACACTTCAAGGCTTTTACAGAAAAGTGAAGCGAATAAGCTTTAAAAATCTTGAGGATAGATCAGAGCAGAGAGTTACTTTTCTCTGAATTTGATATTCGAAGACAGTTTACTGCAAGTTTTACACCTCAACAAAACGGTGTAGTAGAGAGGAAAAATCTCAGTCTTGTGGGGATGGCAAAAAGTATGCTTAAAGCAAAAGGTATTCCTAAATATTTCTGGGTGAAAGCAGTTCACACGGCAACCTATCTTCTCAACCGAAGTCCTACGATGGCACTGCATCACCAAACTCCTTATGAAGCATGGTATGGTTGCAAGCCTACTGTAACTCATTTTAAGGTTTTTTGTTGTATTTCTTATGCTTATATTCCCTCTGAAAAAGGGGGTCAAACTTGATAATAATGGTCTTAAGTGCATTTTTGTGGGCTATAGCACTAAGACTAAAGGCTATCGGTTGTATGATCCCCCAACCAAGAAGTTGCTGATTAGTCGTGATGATTTTTTGATGAAAATAACGCTTGGAGTTGGCATGAGCAATAGGTGCAACAGCTTTCAACAATAGATCTTGAGGACTATGAATTTATGGATGCTCCAAATGATGGGAATAGTGAAGATTCTGATAGGGGTGTAACACCTTCAACTAGCTCAACAACGGGTTCAAGCAACCTAAGTACTCCAAGGAACTCGAGCAACCCAAACAATCCGAGTAACCACTCAAGTCCTTCCAATTCAAGCTCGTCTTCTTCAGAATCAGAAACACCTCCAAGGAGTGAGGGTCTTTAAGAGAAATCTACCAAAGAACTGAGAGATGTTGGTTGGCATGTGTTCAAGAACCAAATGGATTTGAGGATGCTGTTCAACATAAAGAATGGTGCATTGCTATGGATGAAGAAATGCATGCCTTGGAAAGAAATAAAACTTGGGACAATGTAGACCTACTTGAGGGCAAGGAAGTTGTGGGACTCAAATGGATATACAAGATTAAGTTCAATAATGATGGTTCAATTCAAAAATACAAAGCTCGTTTGGTTTCTCATGGCTTTATGGAAAGGGAAGGTATCGATTTTGAAGAGACTTTTGCCTCAGTGGCAAGGTTTGATATATTCGGGCTGTTTTAGTAGTAGCTGCTCAACACAAATGGAATATTTTTTCAATTTGATGTAAAATAAGCTTTTCTTAATGGTGTTTTGGATGAAGAAGTTTATGTATTGCAACTTATTGGTTATGCTATTGCAGGACAAAAAAGAAGGCGTGCTGGTTGAAGAAAGCATTGTATGACCTCAAGTAAGCACAAAGGGCCTGGTTTGACAAGACTAATGGGCATTTTCTGAAGCATCAGTTTAAGAGAAGTGAAAGTGAACCATCTTTGTATGTCAAGACAAAGGTTGACATACAAAGGGAGCTGATGAGGTACTTGTTGTATGTCTTTATGTCGATGACTTGATTTATACTGGTAATAGTGTTTGCTTTGATGGATGAATTCAGGAGTAACATGGTTAATGAGTTTGAAATGACTGATTTGGGGTTGATGAATTATTCTTTGGGTTTGGAACTGAAGCAAATTGATATAGGAATTTTTGTGTCCCAAGAAAAATATGTTAAAGATCTTCTTGCTATGTTCAAGATGCAAGATTGTAATTCAGTGAAAACTCCGATGAACACCAATAAAAAACTATGCTTGAATGATGGAGAAGAGAAAGTTGAAGCGGGTCTTTATAGTAGTTTGATTGGAAGCCTACTATATCTTGCTAATAGTAGGCCTGACATTTTGTAAGTTACAAGTCATTTGTCAAGATTTATGCAAAATCCAAGCAAGTTGCATTATAGGGTAGTTAAAAAGGTGCTGTGATATTTGAGATGGACTATTTCTTATGGTTTTGTGTATTCAAAAACTAACAATTTTAAGCTTTGTTGGTATTCTGACAGTGATTGGGCAGGTTCTTTTGATGATCGAAAGAGCACTGTTAGTTCTGTTTTCAATCTTGGATTAGCTGCAATCTCCTGGAGCTCAAAGAAGTAATCATCTGCTATATTGTCTTCATGTGAATCAGAATACATGGCAATTACTTCAACAACATGTTAAGCTGTTTGGCTTCAAAGAATTTTGGCGGATATAAAGCAAAAGCAAGCAGAGGCAACAACAATCTATTGTGATAACCAATCCACAATTGCTATGACGAAAAATCCAATGTACCATAGTGGCATAAGGTATATTGATACCCGACATCACTTTATAAGAGATTTGCTCACAAACAGGAGCATCAAGATATCTTATTGCAATACAAATGAGCAGCTTGCAAACTTGTTTACAAAACCACTTCATTTAATGAAGTTTGAGATGTTCAAAGATCAATTGGGTGTTGCAAATTTTCCGAAGTAAGGGGGAGTGTTAAAGCCACTGTTGCAGAAATTCCTTATTTGCAGTATTTGATTGAGTCAATAAGTTGTTTAAGTCAATAAATTAGTTCTAAAAATCAGGTATTTTCTATTAGTAATGGGTCCTTATTTTTTCCCTGTAGTTTGGTTGTTTATTGGAATTCTATTTTTTCTAACCCTGTATTAAAAGTCTTTCCTCTCTTCAATAAACGTATCCAGTGTTTGCTCATATGCCTTTCTTTTGTGATTTGTATTTTACTAGTCTCTATTTACCTTTCTCTTCCAAAGAGTTGAAGAGAGAAGTCTTAGTTGAGTTCTATTATCCTGACAGCCACCCACCCCTACCATCGTCGACAACTATAGAAAGAAGGCAAAAAAATGGCCACCATTGCAACCCCAACTCTCTGCTTCTCAAATCTACCATCACCTTTACCATCCAAATCGCATCCTTCCCTAGTTTGGTATAGTCTACCCTGCAGCACAACATTCAAAACCACCTCTATTGGTTCTACTCAAAACTGTTGATGACGACATCACGCTTTCCCAGCAGGACGTCTGAATCTATTAAAAGATAAGATTATTGATTGATGTGTTATTCGGAGATTGTGGATCTGTTGAAGGAAAACGATTTGCTCTCCTCATTTCTCAATCTACTAATGGTCAGACTCTGCCAAATGCAGTGCCTTCAATAGCAACCACCAGATCTGTGGTTGTTGTACCTATAGCACCATCGTCACTATAGTAGCATCTTTGTCACCGACTTTAAGAGCTATTACTTCTTACTTAAACCATAACCCCACTTCCACCCTAAACCCTTTACCACCCCACAGTCCCAACTAGTCGCAGTCCGATCCATACATAACCTACAAGGCTAAAACATCTAATCTATCATCCAATTATTCATTGGTGGCGATCAGAGGCAGGCCTAGTTACTCGTCGTAAGATCATCAATGGAGGGAAAGATATGGCTAAGCCACAGCACGTTAGGAGGAATTTTTGAGTGATGATAAAATCTTAGGAAATGCAGCTGTAGGGATAAGTAATGAAAACATGCTTCACATGGCGCAAGGTGTGGAATAAGAGTCGGATGCGTGGGGTGTTGCATTGGGTTACAGTGATTTTTGGGGAAAAAAAAATGCCCTTGTTTAAGCCTTATTCTTATCGAAAAAATGCATTTTTGAATAGTGTACTGTTGAAAGATTTATGATTAAAAAATAAAAAAAGCTCATGAATTTGAATGTAATATTTTTTTATTAAATAATGTGTGGTTGAAGTAATGTCAAATCACTCTTGAAAAATGTATTTTGATGGAAAAATTGGGGCTCAAACAAGGGCTATAATTACAACCTGATTTATTAACTAAAACTTTAAAAGTAGGGTTAGAAGTAGTTTTCCCAAAATTTTATTTACAGAAAATCCTTTCTTACATAGAAAAAATAGAAGTTGGGCTTGGGTTCGTCCCAAACCTAATCTGGTTAGGAATGGCAATCGGGTTAGAGTGACTTGTCAACTTGCCTATTTGACTTGTATGGGCTCAATACCTAGGCTGTTTCAGCTCGTCTAGGAATGAGCTCAAGCGCTAGTGCGAGTCGAGCACATAAACATTTGGACAAACTGAACCGACAACTCACGGCTTATAGCTCGTGGGCTATTGTTTAAAACGGTCACATTTTAAAGCTCATATTGAATTTAAAATTTTAATTTAGTTTCATTTAATTTAATTTTTTATTTTAAACTCTATAAATACCCATCGTTTTAATTCATTTTTTTTCACACCAATACTCTAAAATCTATAATCTTCATTCTAAAATGTAAATTTCTCAATTCTCAACTCAATTCTTTATTATTCAATATTCCTCATGCAAATATGAGTTGCACAATTAATTTATTTTTTTATTTCATATTTGATCACTTTAATTTCAATTCCTCATCTATTATTTTTAATTTTATATTTCTACTTTCCAATTTTTTTCCTACAAGTGGATCCCAATAAACTATATAGAGGTTATGTTTGGTGGTAGTAACACACCATGACACAATAAAGTGCCTCTTTTATTCGATAATGATTTTGCTGATTTTAATAACATCTGGATTCTAGATCATTTGGGGGTTGAAAATCTGCACGGGATAATAATCCAATTATTTTGGATGAAAAAGAAGAACTCGTAGTAGTAGGTGCAAGAGTTATGGGTAAACAAAAAATAAAATAAATTGTCAAATGCTGAGAACACTTCAAATTGGTTCCATGGGTTGTCCAATAGATGGAGGCAAGAATCCAATGAAGAATTCAATTATTGCCAAACGAAATTGACATGGCAAAAGGGTGTTGAAACTATCCACTTACATCGACATCACAAGAAATGTTTGGCCAAACATGAAGTTACGGGTCAAACACAAATACACCTCTATTTTAGTTCTCTTTCTCCCGATAATAGTTCTAGCACACTTAGCGCATGGATCTACTTAGGGAAAAGATGTCGTGAGGGAATGGTCAAGTTCGTAATTGGTGTTGAGCTATCACTTAGCCTAATGACAAAAAAATAATTCATCAAATTCGTAAAAGATTATCTTTATTCATGGTACTTTGCAAGCAAGTAAAAACACTCTTCGTTCTAATCAGTTTGATTATTTCAATAGAATAAAAAAATACTGATAATTGATTTACAAAAATATGGAGATGTTATATCTCTCACATTCAACTTATGGAAAGATATTAATAAAAAAGGTTACTGTAACGACTCGACCTATGGTATCAATCTATTAACTTACGTACTATTCGTTCTAGAAAGGTTTAAACCCATTTTATTTCTCACGAATTTCTCTTCAGGTCTCCAGGATTCAAACCCAAGATCTCTGTCTTATGAGAGACTTATGTTGAATTCTAATACCAATTTTATTTTTTTAGAACACTGACAATCAAATTAGAAATTATAACCTCAAATTACATCAAATAATAGTAATAGTTATTTTGATGACTTTTGAACATACATGCCATATTTTTGTTTCGAAAAAAAAAAAAATCACATATAACCATCTAAAAAAATACTTCCATAAAATAGCCTGTATTTACATTCATTATATAGTATAATATTGTTAAGTATGTTGCAATATACGAGGGAATGAAGGCATGAAAGATTTGTATAAAATAAATATGAGCCGTTCCTTTGTTCAGGCTGTCAAGATGTACGTAAGCCACTTGTAACGAAATCTGTTACTAATAAGCTAATGAGAAGTCGCAATCTTTCACTCATCTAAAATGACCAAACCATCCCAAGGCTTCGATGGAAATTTATAAATACCCTCTCATTTGAAAAGAAACGGATGCAATTCAAATATTTTCCGCTCCAAGAGCTATTTTCCTTCTTGCTCCAGTTTGAGCATTGAAAATTGTGAGTTTAGAAAGTGAAAATCATAGTTTGGTGAATAGGATTTGTTGATCAAATTTCAATCATCAACAAATTAACACCGTCTGTGAAAAATTGAACAAAGTAAACTATAAAATTCTCTGCACCGACTAAGAAATCCTTGAGATCTAAAAGGTTGTCAATAAAAATAGATCTAGAAAGGATAAAAACATTAAAGGTCGAAATAGAGGAATTTAGCCTTGATTCAACCAACAGTGATGTCAATCCTAAAAGAAAGCGGGAAAGAGCACCGACAAAGTTTCAGGCTAATGCTTTTCCTACCCAATGCCAGCAACACTAGAAAGCAAAATACGCAATGGGTGATGTACATGAAATGGCGAAAAACATTCAAGCATTGGCAGCAGAGAATACATATCTACCTACAAAATGTGAGGATCTAGAGACGAGGCAAAAAATCGAAGATGGTAGGAAAGTATCAACGCTTGATGTTAAACTTTTTCCCAATGACAACGATAATTAACAGACATCACAAACCTGTAAGGTCGCTCTAATAGAAAAGTAGAGAAAGTCACTGATTAGCGAGTCCGAGTCGGGGAGATTGGTGAATAAGGTAAACATGCACTACATGAGGCATAAACATGTGAATGACAGAAAAATAAAGACCTGTAAGGAATCCAAAGATCAATTAGTGACAAAGGGGTATGACAAGAAGGAAGAGCTAAGGCATGAAAAAAGAGCAATCATACAAACGCTCAATTAATGTAAACAAGTATTAACCAAAAGGCTAGATAATGTGAAGCAAAAGGTAAGAGAATCCCTCAAAAGTTACTCGCACATTTTAAAGCTGAAATGATTGCTTACGAAACTATTGCAGACGAAGATGAGAGAAATGGCCTTTGGAAAGGACCCCTCCTGGCGAGAAACCATTAAAAGGTATCCATGCTCCTTTCACCAATTATTATATCTAATTCGCAATGATATCCATGCAAATGATATTTTTGAGAATCGAAGAAGGCAAAAGCAAGGACATCGATAAGAAATCAAAAGAAAATCATACACGTTTACATTTGGATGGCCTATATCATAATATCCTCACTTGGACGGACCCAAGGATCGAAGAACTATGCTTTCCACATCTTTTCAAACTACAAACAAATCATACCTACATCTCAGTGAGTGAAAATTTTGCGAAATCCATCATACATGAGGTCATAAATAGATGAATACTTCGAGGTGCTTAAAATGGCTAGGATGCAATGCAATCAGAGAAAGATGTTTATAACTTCGAGGATTTAGATGCCTTTATGTCCAGAGAAAAGGTGGAACAAATAAAGACACAATCTCAAAAGTTATGTNTCTTTTGAAAGCAAGCTCCATGAATATTCCATCAAATAATTCGTTGATCCAGGGTAGGGTCAACACCTTAGGACCCTTATAGTAAATATATTAGATGATATCGCCTAAATAAAAAGATTTAGTTACTAAGAAACAAATCATCCTGGTAATACAGTTGAAAAAGGAGAAAAATTGCATGCTTTAAAATCTTTATTTTGGAAAGCACGTATTGGATGCTGTGAAGGGTAAGGTGAAAAACATACCCGTCAGTGAAGATAACTTAACGAGTACTAAGGGAAGCATGAACAATGAAAACAAACGAAAAAGGTATTGCATCTTAGATAAGATTGTGAAAATGGAGATTGATAACAAAAGGTGAGGCCAACCACGTCAGGCAAGGTATATCTTCCCACAAATAGTCGGAGGTGAGACTAACTTCTCTAAAGAGATTTTAGTTAAAGGCGAAGCCTGTCCCGTTGAAGGAATTTTAATTGAAGGCAAGGGTTATCGTACCAAAGAAATATTTTCACCCCA